TTGATACACTTTTATGAAGAAGTGGGTTTTTAATGATTTTTTGAAGGAGTGGAGACTGGGTGAGCATCTAACGGAGGAGGGAAGCGAGTTCCACAGGAATGGTGCAGCCCTCGAGAAATCTTGAAGGCGAGCATCAGAGGTGGGAGTACGGACAGAAGACAGACGTAAGTCTTCAGCAGAGCTTTAGGGCCTAGACGGGACATACTTGTGTATTAGGGATGGTAGATAAGTGGGAGCAGCATTATGTAGAGATTTGAAAGCAAGAACCATAATTTTAAATTGAGCTCCATATCTTACAGGAAGCCAATGTAGGGACTGACAGAAGGGTGAGGCATGGGCGGTGCGGGTGGACAGGAAGGTGAGCCTCGCTGCCGCATTCATTATGGACTGTAACGGCGCAAGTTGGGAGCACGTAAAACTACTGAGAAGCGGATTACAGTAGTCAAGGCGAGAAAGGATAATAGAATGGACCAGCACCTTAGTCGCATCTGGCGTCAAGAAGTTGCATCTGAATCTTGAGATGGAAGTGGCAGGATTTGGTGATAGACTGAACATGAGGGGTGAAGGAGAGGTTGGAGTCAAAGAGAACACCTAGGCAGAGAACCTGCATGGTAAAACATAGAAACATAGAATGTGACGGCAGATAAGAACCATTCGGCCCATCTGATCTGCCCAATTTTCTAAATACTTTCATTAGTCCCTAGCCTTATCTTATAGTTAGGATAGCCTTATGCCTATCCCACGCATGCTTAAACTCCTTTACTGTGTTAACCTCTACCACTTCAGCTGAAAGGCTATTCCATGCGTCCACTACCCTCTCAGTATAGTAATACTTCCTGATATTATTTTTAAACCTTTGCCCCACTAATTTAAGACTATGTCCTCTTGTTGTGGTAGTTTTTCTTCTTTTAAATATAGTCTCCTCCTTTACTGTGTTGATTCCCTTTATATATTTAAATGTTTCTATCATATCCCCCCTGTCTCGTCTTTCCTCCAAGCTATACATGTTAAGATCCTTTAACCTTTCCTGGTAAGTTTTATCCCGCAATCCATGAACCAGTTTAGTAGCCCTTCTCTGAACCCTCTCTAAAGTATCAATATCCTTCTGAAGATACGGTCTCCAGTACTGTGTACAATACTCCAAGTGAGGTCTCACCAGTGTTCTGTACAATGGCATGAGCACTTCCCTCTTTCTACTGCTAATACCTCTCCCTATACAACCAAGCATTCTGCTAGCATTTCCTGCTGCTCTATTACATTGTCTGCCTACCTTTAAGTCATCAGAAATAATCACCCCTAAATCCCTTTCCTCAGATGTTGAGGTTAGGACTCCATCAAATATTCTGTACTCTGCCCTTGGGTTTTTACGTCCAAGATGCATTATCTTGCACTTATCCACATTGAATGTCAGTTGCCACAACTCTGACCATTTTTCTATTTTACCAAAATTATTTGCCATTTGGCTTATCCGTCCTGGAACATCAACCATGTTACATATCTTTGTATCATCAGCAAAAAGACATACCTTACCATCAAGACCTTCTGCAATATCACTAATAAAAATATTAAAGAGAATGGGTCCAAGTACAGATCCCTGAGGTACCCCACTGGTGACAAGCCCAAGCTTCGAATATAGTTCATTGACTACAGCACTCTGTTGCCTGTCACTCAGCCACTGCCTTACCCATTCAACAATATTGGAATCCAAACTTAAAGATTGCAATTTATTGATAAGCCTTCTATGTGCAACAGTGTCAAAAGCCTTACTGAAATCTAGGTAAGTAATGTCTACTGCACCACCCTGATCTATTATTTTACTTACCCAGTCAAAAAAATCAATAAGATTAGTTTGGCATGATCTCCCTGAAGTAAACCCATGTTGTCTCTGATCTTGAAATCTATGTGTACATGGTTTCCAGTACTTTCCCAACTACTGAAGTAAGGCTTACGGGCCTATAGTTGCCCGACTCCTCCCTACTACCTTTCTTGTGAATAGGCACAACATTCGCTAACTTCCAATCTTCTGGGACTACTCCTGTTAACAATGATTGGTGAAATAAATCTGTTAATGGTTTTCCTAGGACACCACTAAGCTCTTTTAATAACTTTGGGTGTATTCCATCTGGTCCCATTGACTTATTTGTCTTTACTTTTGACAGTTGAAATAGAACCTCTTCCTCTGTAAACTCACATGTAATAAATGACTCATTTGTCCTTTTTCCTAACTGAGGTCCCTTTCCTTCATTTTCATCTGTAAATACTGAACAAAAATATTAATTGAGGTAGTCAGCTAGACTTTTATCCTCTTCTACATACCTTCCTTCTTTTGTTTTGCGGTGAGTACAAAGCATAGTCATACACCACAACCGCGTACATTTATATTTAAACATAGATAGGTTAAACAGTGGCATGGAAAATGTGCACATTTTTTGTTTTAAAAACATAATAAGGTAAGCAGAGATGTCTAAACGATAACAATCTGTTTGAGAACGACCATGTTTGCAGCATCTTGACAGTATTGGCACTCAGAGTTGAACATAAGAAATAATATTGTGACATGGCGTAAGCATTTGTACCATTCTGCGGTTCTGTGTCATGAAGACTAATGTGTTTGGTAGCAACTGGTTAATCCTTAGTTTACCTTAAGGTTTCAAAATGCTGTCTAGTGTTCATAGTATAAGCTAGCATGCAACTGAAATATCTCTAACATAGCAATTTAAGTAAGCTGAGAATTCACATGATAAGCACCTCAGGCATTGGATGTGAACAGATCATATTGTAAGACTCTAGCCTTTCTAACCTTCTGTGACAGTCAGAAGGAGTGTTTGCTAGGTAAGTGGGTCTGGTTTATGCGATATGCATGCCTTTTTGCAGTAAAAGGAAACCCGAGGGCGCAAACCAAAAACAATATAAGTAAAATATAAATGAAAAGAAAGTTCGGAGGTATTAACCACTAGTTGTGCGGTCGGACTGTGCTGTGTATCATTACTGAGTGGTGCAAGTCCCCGTGACAGTTCACAGCAGTCAGCCTATGCCCACTCTGGAGGTCTGGGGTATCAGCCTGAGTTGTAGGTGCAGCGTCTGCGGAGTGCTGTTGTGCAGTGGGTCAGCTCGTGGGCGGTGTAGTGCCACTTCCATTCCTCTGCAGGAGGTTTGAGGCAGGTATCCTTGGATTTTCCTGCAGGACCATAGCCAGGGCCGGACTGGCCCACCGAGATACCGGGAAATTTCCCGGTGGGCCGTCGGCACCTGGGGCCGGGCAGCCAGCTGGCTCACCTGCGGCCGCAGAGGGAGCTCCTTTGGCGGCCGCAGGGGGAGCTGGCTGTTCTGTCTCTGCTCCCCCTCCCCAGCGCACTGCTTAATGAGACCGGGGCCGGAATATGACATCATACTCTGGCCTCGGTCTCATTAAGCAGTGCGCTGGGGAGGGGGAGCAGAGACAGAACAGCCAGCTCCCCCTGCGGCCGCAAGAACAGCCAGCAAACCCTGCGGCCGCCAAAGGAGCTCCCTCTGCGGTCGCCAGAAGAGCTCTCCACAGGTAGAAATTGTGTATGTGTGTGTGTGTCTGTGTCATTTGTGTGTGTGTGTGTGTCTGTCGGTCATGGTGTGTGTGTGTGTCTGTCTGTGTCATGGTGTGTGTGTGTGTCTGTCTGTGTCATGGTGTGTGAGTGTCTGTCTGTGTCAGCAATGTGTGTCTGTGTCATTGTTTGTGTCTCTCTGTCATGGTGTGTGTGTCACTGTCATGGTGTGTGTGTGTGTGTGTGTCTGTCTGTGTCATTGTGTGTGTCTCTGTGTCATGGTGTGTGTGTCACTGTCTGTCATGGTGTGTGCGTCTGTCTGTGTCATGCAATGTGTGTCTATGTCATGGTGTGTGTGTGTTTGTCATGTAATGTGTGTCTGTGTCACGGTCTGTGTGTGTCATGGTGTGTGTGTGTGTTTGTCTGTGTCATGTAATGTGTGTCTGTCTGTGTCACGGTGTGTGTGTCTGTGTCACGGTCTCTCTGTGTCGTGGTGTGTGTGTCTGTGTGTCAAGGTCTGTCTGTGTTATGGTGTGTGTGTGTGTCAAGGTGTGTGTGTCTTTTTTAAGGTGTGTGTCTGTCATGGTGTGTGTGTCTGTCTGTGTCATGGTGTGTCTGTCTGTCATGGTGTGTGTGTGTTTCTGTATGTGTCACGGTCTGTCTGTGTCATGGTGTGTGTCTGTCATGGTATGTGTGTGTGTGTGTGTGTGTATGTGTGTTTTTACTCAACTTTTTTTTCCCACGTCATGCTGGTCTCCCCTCGCCTGGCCCTGCCTCTACGGCTGAGATCATCAAGCTTGATGATCTCAGCCAATCCGCACTGACACAGGAAGCACCTCTAGTGACCGTCTGAGTGTCTGTCACTAGGAAGCAATGTAAACACTGCCTTTTCTCTTAAAAGTCAGTATTTACATTGAAAAGCCTGCAGGGACAGGCTATAGACACCAGTACCACTACATTAAGCTGTGTGTGTGTGTGTGTGTGTGTGCGCGCTTGCTTGTGTGTGTGTGTGTGTGCCGGCTACTGAGTGAGCTTGTGTTTTTATGTCAATAACCTTATGTATGAGGCTGTGTATCAATCAGCTTGTGTCAGTGAGATTGTTTGTGTATGCATGTGAGCAGGGGCGGACTGAGAGCCTTTGGGGCCCCCGGGCAAAATTAGATCCCAGGCCCTCTGAAGGCCAAATATATGTGCATTAAATAAATGTTAAATATAATTCATAATACGGCATTCCTTTGGATGTGTGTATTGTGAAGACCTGTGTATCAATGCATGTTTGTATTTGAGTCCGTGTGAATGCACTTGTGCATGTCTGGATGACTAAATGTGCTTTTTTGTATATAGGGTCAGTGTGAATGCATATGACAAGTGACAGAGTGTGTGAGGGAGAAGGTGACAGGTGGAAGAGTGTGGGAGGTTGTGACAGGTGGCAGAGTGAGGGAGGGGTTGAGTGGTGGCAGAGTGAGGGGGAGACAGTGAGTGGGTGTGACTGGTGACAGAGTGAGGGAGTGGGTGACTAGTGACAGAGGGAGGGAGATAGGGGTGACTAGTGACAGAGTGAGGGAATGGGTGACTAGTGGCAGAGTGAGGGAGGGAAGAGATGACTAGTGGCAAAGTGAGGGAGGGAAGGGGTGACTAGTGACAGAGTGAGGGGGGGTGACTGTCACTAGTCACCCCATCCCTCTCTCTGTCACTAGTCACTCCCTCCCTACTCTGTCACTGTGACTCCCTCCCTAACTCTGTCACTGTGTCACCCGCTCCCTCTCTCTGTCACTAGTCACCCCATCCCTCTCTCTGTCACTAGTCACCCCATCCCTCTCTCTGTCACTGTGAAGGAAGGAAGGGGTGACTGGTGACAGAGTGAGGGAAGGGATGACTAGTGGCAGAGTGAGGGAAGGAAGGGGTGACTGGTGACAGAGTGAAGAGGGTGGTGACAGAGTGAAAGAGGGGGTGACTGTCACTAGTCACCCCATCCCTCACTCTGTCACTAGTCACCCCCTCTCTCACTCTGTCACTAGTCACCCCCTTCCCTCTCTCTGTCACTCCCTCACTCTGTCACTAAGGACAGAGGGGGTGTTTAGTGACAGAGTTAGGAGGGAGTGACTAGTGACAGAGAGAGGGATGGGGTGACTAGTGACAGTCACCCCCTCCCTCACTCTGTCACTAGTCACCCCCTCTCTCACTCTGTCACTAGTCACCCCCTTCCCTCTCTCTGTCACTCCCTCACTCTGTCACTAGAGTGAGGGAAGGGGTGACTAGTGGCAGAGTGAGGGAAGGGGTGACTAGTGACAAAGTGAGGGAGGTGGTGACTGTCACTAGTCACCACCTCCCTCACTCTGTCACTAGTCACCACCTCCCTCTGTCACTACTCCCTCCCTCCTTCTGTCACTAGTCACCCCCTCCCTCACTCTGTCACCTGTCACACTCTGTCACTAGTCACCCCCTTACTCTGTCACTAGTCACCCCCTCACTCTAGTGACAGAGTGAGGGACAGGGTGACTAGTGACAGAGTGAGAGAGAGGGTGACTAGTGACAGAGTGAGGAAGGGGGTGACACAGTGACAGAGTGAGGGAGGGGGTGGTGACTGTCACTAGTCACACTCTTCCCTCCCTCACTCTGTCACTAGTCACCACCTCCCTCTGTCACTACTCCCTCCCTCCTTCTGTCACAAGTCACCCCCTCCCTCACTGTGTCACTAGTCACCCCCTCACTCTGTCACTAGTCACCCCCTCACTCTAGTGACAGAGTGAGGACAAAACTAGGAACAGTGAGAAAGAAATGACTAGTGACAGAGTGAGAGAGAGGGTGACTAGTGACAGAGTGAGGAAGGGGGTGACACAGTGACAGAGTGAGGGAGGGGGTGACTAGTGACAGAGTGAAGGAGGTGGTGACTGTCACTAGTCACCCCCTTCCCTCCCTCACTCTGTCACTAGTCACCCCTTCCTCACTTTGTCACTAGTCACCCCTTCCCTCCCTAACTCTGTCACTAGTCACCACTTCCCTCCCTCACTCTGTCACTAGTCACCCCCTCCCTCATTGTCACTAGAGTGAGGTGGTGACTAGTGACAGAGTGAGGGAGGTGGTGACTGTCACTAGTCATTACCTCCCTCCCTCTGTCACTAGTCACAACCTCCCTCTGTCACTACTCAATCCCTCCTTCTGTCACTAGTCACCCCCTTTGTCCCTTACTCTGTCACTAGTCACCCCCTAACTCACTCTGTCACTAGTCATCCCCCTCTCTCACTCTGTCACCAGTCATCTGCTCACTCTGTCACCTGTCACCCCTTCCTTCCCTCACTCTGCCACTAGTCACCCCTTCCCTCACTCTGTCACC